CTCCTCTAAATCACTGGAGAACTCACTCTCAAAAAAAAAAAAAAAAAAGGGGGGGGGAAGAGGAAAATGAAAAAAGAAGGAAAAAAAAAAGGTATTGCTACTGCATCCAAAACCACTCAATTTTTGAAGCACATATTACTTGAATGTATCTCCAGACTCACTTGACGAGCTTTTGAAGAAGCTTTGGTATAAAATTTACAGCATATTTGTATACTTGCTTTTCACATGAGACAACTCCCTCCCCTTAAGTAAACAAAGTATCTGGAAACTAGACAAGTGAGGCTTACAAAAGAGCCTGCAAGGTGAACAACTGGTCCTCCTGAACAGCACCATATAATCCTTAAGTCTTTCAAAAGAAATAGGCTTGATTAAAACACAGGGGATAACTGCTGGGCATGTGTAAGAATAACCAGTGGTAATTGTGCTTTCCCAAGAAAGCAGTATGAGGACCAGTCTCTTGCTTAAGAAAGGTGTCCTGCCAAAAAAACCCAAAGCAGACTACAGAAGAGAATGGTAAGGATATCAAAAGAAAATCAAGGAGTGTGTCACTACAGAGTACTTCAGCTGCCAGCAATACAATCTGTGACATCCTACTGTCAATAACTCATTTATACATTTTCCAGCATTGTCCGAGTCTTCAGTTTGAAGAATCAGTTCAGTTCCCTCCTCTCTTCCCTCCTGAGACTCCAAACAGAAAACTTGCCCATCACATGGCATAGCAAGAAGAATGCAATTCTTCTTCATAGCAAGAGTCTAAGCATCCCCTAGTATTTCTGGCCCCCCGCCCCAACCTAGGGAAAGCTCCTCAGTTAACTACTATTTCACTCTTTAGAGGTCATAACAGATGATGAACAAATCAGAACTCCCAGGCTACTCTTGGAGGGAACCCCTTTCATTGTTCAAGGCTCAGTGGCCTAAATTTGCCTGTAACTACAACCTTTGACTAATGCTCAAATTCAGAATATTACATTTTGAGCAGGATTCCCGGCTACAAAATTTGTTTGTTAACACATACGCAGAAAGAGGCAAATGCGTAGAAATACGCTCTATATGTAAGATGTACAGAGTGTTCAACTTCTCTTCAGGCAACTTACTACTTACTACAGTATTTAACATTAAGTTAAAAGACAATTTTATTTTATTTTACTTTCACTGTTTGGGTACTTGGTGTCATATTAACAAGACATGAAAGGCAGTGGCAGTAAAATAAGAAACAGAAATATTACCCTACAGTAATTTTTCCAATTAAAAGTTACATAGGAAATTCAAAAGTTCATTGACTTTTGTGCCTCTTCTAAGTTACTGCTCCTAACAGCTGCAATTGCATTGCTATATAACTAGTATTTTGAAAGCTTCACTAAATATAAAACATTATAGTGTAAGACTAACTGTAACACTAAATATTATCTGGCAGTGATAAACTGCATCAATTTATAGGGAAGAGCATACCTAGATTGTGGGGCTCCTGAATCATAAATGGAATATACACCAGGCTTCCATAATAACCCCAACTGAAAAGAAGCTACTACTTATTAAAAAACTAGTTAAGACTCAGAAAACACTCCAACATCTCACATCCTCAGAATATGAGGACAAATATGCTCTTCCAAACACGTTGCCAAACATATTAAGAAGTAGGTGTTCTCATTTTGTCCATGACAGCTTTCCAAACAAGGTACAAAGTAAAGGTATAGTAGTGGTGTTTTGAAACCTAATAAATTGAAGTGGAAGAATTGGGAAATCCTTTTAGTTGTTTAAGGGAAAAAAACAACAACAACAACAAAAAGCCCACAGAGAACTTCCCCCTTCATTTCCCTCACTATCAGTTGGTGGTTTCCGCTAGTCACATCTATTGCTCAGGGACACTGTGCATGAGCCTCCCAGCGGAGTACTGAGTAGTATGACGAATGTCTTTCAAACATATGCATAAAGAAGCATGTGCAACAGAGTGTCTTGTTCTAGAATTTTCCTTATAGGCAAAGCATACACATCTGCAAGTAGAGGCAAACATACAGAATGATTGGTTAGAGCAAAGACAAAGAACCACACCTTGCCTTAGAGGAGAATGTGATGAGCCACTGTCCCATCAGCTTTTATTCCACTGTCCTGGATTCATCTTAAAGATCTGTCCTACCCAGCATTAAGCAATATATACCAACATGGCAGAAACATCTTAATCTGCAAGCACAAGGGGCCACATGACTTTACTATGCATCTCTTACTCCAGTCTTGCAATCGGCTGTACATGATCCTCTACAGCCTGTGCTGTGCGCTGCTCACCCCTCCGCTCAGCTCCAGTGCTGCAGAGGCAGGGGTCATGCCAGCCTGTACTTCTCCCCGTCCTCTCTCCAGGTCCTTCTCGTCTCCCAGTGGCCCAGTACAACGCTAGCACGTGAGATTGAAAAGTTAGAAGGGAAAAGGGCTGTGCAGGGACTGGCAGGTATCCCTGTAACGCTTTGCGCTGCAATCTCCATCCTAGCTACCCAACCTTCAGTGAGACCAGGGAGAAGAATAGAGTGAGACTCAAAGCCCTCTAAAATTTTAGTGATCTTCTACTGTCAAACTTATTCAGACAAAGGAACTTCTTTTGATATTGACACTGTATCTTTCTTCCTTTGGCAGCATTTTAATTCCCCATGTAGAAAAGAAATATACTTATCAGAAGTCTGGAAATGTAAATAATTTCTTTTAACTTCATTGCTATTACTAAGCAAGACCAGCTTAGTAAGCTGTTTTCACAGCTATGTATCATTGCATTCTGTTCTAGGAACCATTGATGTAACACTAACAAGCTCACTTATCCACAAAATATGCCAACTGCCATGCTCAAAGAAGCTCTGCTAGATGGCACATCCTTTGGATGCAGAGAAGAAGGCTCTCCCAAACCTTACCAACCAAGAACACGGTTACATTGCTGGTCTTAAGTATTCATGACTGTTGGTAACAAAAAAACCAAAGTTACCAGAACTTTGAAGCTAATCTGGTACACCTTGCCAGATTCTCAGAATGCCACGAGAAAACACCATTTTTACTCCGTAAAAGAGTTTTTCAGCTATTTTAAAGAAAAAGGATCCCTTCCCACTCCCAGTCTGCTCAGGACAACTTTTCCAAAACTCATAACAAATCTGCTACGAGGAATGATTCATTGGAATGATCCAAGTATGTAACTAGGCACCTTACAACACAGGGCCACGCCTGATGCAATGCTGAAGAATTACACAGATATAACATTTTACGTAATTATTTTTTTAGAAAACAACTCTGACCTGTATTCTTTTTGAGGTTTTATGAATACAGTTCTTTTATAATCACACTAGAATTGGTTTCAGTGACCCATACACAAAGAAACAGCAACTAAAACATGGGGAAATTTCAGATCTTAGCCATTTCCTATTTTGTAGTTGGCACACAGAGATCTAACTGATGCATATTAGATTTGCATTGATCAACTGTACCATGAAGAAAGAAAAATGTGTTCATCAACTCGTGACCACTTTTTCAAACTTGTACTTGTTCATTCAAATGAGACTTTAAAACAGTACACGTTTCTTGTTTTTGCTCATTGGACTCTGTACTTAAAACAATGGTAAAAAACAACCTAGTGCATAATCAACATCCTTGTTGTTTTAAGGCACAGATGCAACTGGTAAATACTAGGTTCTTCACTTTAGTCTTTCATATAGTGAGCGAACACACTATAAATAGCCATCTATAGATAAACATTTCAAATGTGTTTTTTCAAACCCTACCACTCACATATACTTACTAACCCTGAAACTGCAGCAAGTTTATAACCAGCGCTTATCCAGGTAGAAGCGCACATTTCAAAGGGATAACAAGCGCTTGCTCTGTTCAATAAGTATTTGTCCTCACATTTCTATTGATTAATTCATTCATTAGTAGCTATATTACTACGCACTTCCCTTTCGATCCCCAAAGCTCTGTCTACCTCTACCTCCAATTATTCCTTCATTTTCTGGCCAATTTTACTCCTCCAAACGTCTAAAGTAGATTGATTAAACACATTAGTATCCTAAGACCAAATCCTATTAAACTTGTTCACACAAGTCCCCTTTAGCTCTGCAAGTCACTTACGCTACGAAAGGCCCAGAATCTGGCCCAATACAATTCTGGGAAAGTAAGAATCACTACATCTGCCTGTTTAAAAAAAAAAAAAAAAGTAACACAGACAAGTTATCTCCACAAAACACACGCACCAGTGATTGAGTTTCTCTGCGCGTGTGTGCGCGAAGCCAGAGGTGGCTTAGGTCACGCATGTAACGCCAGCCTTAAAAGAAGAATATAACGCTGTAGCCTGACAACTAAAGATAAACGTGACGGCGGTGCAAGACAGCTCGGGAACTTTCCCCAGCTCGGACGAGGTTACTTCGCTGCAAGCCGTGCCTCACGGCGAGGCCGCACCGGCCGCAGGCAGGGGAACCTCGCTCCCCTCGGTTTAAGGGCGGCAGCTCCCGAACCACGGCCGACCAGCGGGCTCCGCAGAGGCACCGTTAAGGCCGTTCCCTCCCG